GAGGGAAAAAACGAGTTTCTGCTCATGCATAGTTTCAGCCCTTCGAAGCTTCTCCTCAAGAAGTCTAGCCAATCTTCTTCGACGATGTTTTAAAAATAGCGTAGCTTATACGGGTGTTCCGAGAAGACGTGATATGTGCTTTTGCCAAGCCCCTGAACCTGATTTCTCTGATTCATGGATTCCCTTATTGGTCAGCCGGTTAAACTAGAGAACTTGGATGTTTACTGAACATCTAATGTTAAGTTTTAACAAACTACCTACTCGTATGTATCTATATCGAACCTTGACCATGGGGGTTTCTGAGCTCTGGCCCAACGCTAGGAAAATTGAATATATACATGTATTTGATTTTGAGATTTCCCCCGTCGACAAAACTCTAGGACTCTCAACTCTAGCTTAGAGGCGTCTGGTTTGGCTGGGATGGCCTATCTACATCTAGGTATGTAGAGACGTTTACGTACTCTGCAGGGCTGGCTGCTACCTCTAGGTGAACGTCAAAAGCCGAGCCGCGCACGGGACGGCGGTCGTAGTGGTAGTGGGCATTAGACGAAACGAAACGACGTCGTCGACTCCCTACTTTGTCTTAAGGCTGACGCGGGATGCCATTGCCGATTGACTAACTATCAGTAAATAAATGTATCAGACTTTTGAAGTTTTCTTTTTGGGAAAGAAATTACGAAAATCTTAACCGTCAGACATTATCATAAATAAGATATTCTATTTGTATATGTGTAGTTCTTTGTGCCCACATGCATGTATCCTATCCCCGGGTGCGCGCGCGTAGGTTATGGATGGATGGATGACATCCATTTTCAGTAGGTACTCTACTAGCTAGAGTAGAGAGAGAGAGAGAGAGACAGTGAGTATCGTGGGTTTATCGACAGCTGATGTCAAGAGTCAAGTGAGCTGCAAAACATAAATAAATCGCGCTTACGTTACGGCACGTGTTGCCATCTTTAATTCCCTCCACACTTCCAGATCTACTCTTCAAACCTGCTGGGTGCGTTCTGGTAGGTTAGGTAGGTAAACTCTATTCTGTTCTACCAATGTTACTAAAGATAGAGCTGGCCGTAGATCCATATACCCGTCCATGTTCGAAAGAGGCCAAGACCATCGTTCCGCCTGAAAAACACTTGGGATCGTGGTTCACGACGGGTACGGACATGGACATCGTCGTCTCAACTGAAGTTCCACCATGTGCTTTTTTCCTCCCTCCCCCGGACCAGGAACCGATCCCGCGCTGCATCACTTTTTGGTCGAGCTTCTACAGCCTACTGTGCTCCCCGAGGAACTTAACTGGGCTCCCTCGACGACCATCGTAGCTGAAGTCGACATATTTTTTTCCTGCCTCTACCTTTGCCTTACTTACTTACTCCACCACTTGCCAGCGTAGCTATATTGTACATGATGTACATAGCCAGATCTAGAGAGCGAGTGCACAACTGTGATCGAGAGGTTGGCAAAAGATCTCACTCTCTACAACCATGGTAGGTAGGTCCACTACCCGCGCGTGTAATAAGAACAAGAATAAGGACCACAACTAAACCTGCACTAGGTAACGTAGGCAGACAGACAACAAGACGAGACAACAATAGCAATAGCTAGGTAGCTAGCTAGCTTAGAGATCGTCTTTCGGAGACGGAAGCTCCTTCTGACCATGCGAACCATGGTACTCAACTCTGGATCAAACCCCGACGTCAAAATAACTTTTTTTTTCATCATATCAACGTATCAACGTCCAGCACGGGAGGAGCTGTTTGGGACTAAATGACAAAAAAAAATAAAAAAAAAAAAATTCTCCGGATAGCCGAGAACGGGGATGTTATTCATTCGGGAGGCACAAGAACTGAGTCTGTCTGGCTGGCTGGCTCATGGCTGGCTGTCTGGCTGGCTTGCACCTTTCTTCTCTCCACCTTCTTCCCTTCCACCCGTCTGTCGGCAATCGCAGAGCACCTAGGTAATCGAATTGCCAACGACCCAGACACCCCCCCAATCCCCCCCGGTCCCCGCCATCTATTCGCCCGATCGCTCTCACTCGCACAAGGCAAAACATCCGCTGGCTGGTCTGTCTGTCTGGCTGGGCTGGTTGTTCAAGTTCAGCTTTTCCAAAGCGGATGTGTGCCACGAATGCAGTTGAGCGCGGTGCGGTTGCTGAATCCGCACTTATCATGATGCCCCCTCTCATGTGTTTGTGTTGCTTGGCAACAACTATCTCCCTCTTCTACCTTCTACGGTTCTGGTTCTATCCAGGTAGAGTAACAATACTCTGGCTCAGCACTCACCCTTCCATCCCTCCCCTCCCTCCAGCTCCTGGACGGCGATCGGTATATTTAGGAACAACCTCATTCCGGAGCGGTTGCGAAGGACCACCCTCTCGATGCGTGTGCTCCGTGGATCTGGATTTGCGAGCGAGGGAGAGATCTGGGAAGGTAGGTAGGTCGCGTTCGCTGGGTAAGTAGGTAGGTCAGTCCTGGGTAATTTTGGGCATGTGTGGGCGTGGGTTGTTGACAGGGTCAAGGACATGGACATGGGAGTATGTAGGCAAGTAGAGTACCTGCCTGCTCTATGAGCAGTGTCCTAGATAGGTAGCTACGGAGGAAGACATCCATGGAAAAACAGGCATGGCGACAGAAATAGTAGAGAATCATCCAGGCCAGTACAGTACAGTAGGGGAGGGTAGGTAAACAAATACGAGCTCTCCTCTGCAATGCGCGACCGACTCTGAGCTATGGATGTACCCCAATTACTCTAGCTGGGTGCATACATAGAAGTAGTTCGTTTACCTAGCTCGGAAGCCTAGGATATACTCTACCTACATAATATATCTATATGTGCGCTGCAATATAAGCAATATAATAGCCTACCTATACGAGCGCGCGTGCGATTGCTTATCCATTCCTTTCCTTTCCATTCCAACCAACCACTTACTTACTAAACCACCTATCTAATCCTAACCAAACCGGGGTCCGCGCGCGCGAGGAATGTAGGTCTTGATGTCAATAATATTGAGTTCGAGGGAGGGTACGTGGTGGTGGGCTAATTACGCGAGCCCGATCCAGCACCAGAAAGCAGAGCGAGTTACGTACCTGGTTCGCTTCCCAGAAGGCCCTGGCCCTGACCCTCCCTCTGCGGCACGGATTTCGGGCATGGCCATGGCTCCGGGAAGGGTGGTCGATCGGGTGTAGATATATGGCCGAGGCCCTATATTTTGGCATGGAAGGACCTAGGAGCGGAGCGGAGATGCAGGCGTGTGGATAGGAGTAGAGTAGAGATAAGGCAATAGTTCTGGAATAATATTAAGGAATACCACTCTATAGGAGAGTTATATTTGTATATAAATTATAAAAAGAGTATAAGAGTGTCGTCGGACCTTCCCGGTGGGAGGAGCCGAGAGGAATGTTATGGTGCGTCATGGATAGTCACTCGGCTTATAGATGCAGTTGTGAGTGAAGTGAACATGATATCATGATTGGAGCGACGCAGAGCAGCGAACAGTGTAGCAGTGGAATAAGCACTTTAAGTTCTGAACACTCTGGTTGGCCACTGACATGAATCGTGAGGCAAGGGACCCACACTGGCTCTGCCCAGCTACCAGCCGCAGTGCAGGGGACACAGAGTAAACGATGATTGATGCCATATCCTCGTCTCCACCGGCGCGGGGCACGACTGCGGGCCGGGGCTTAGGGTTGATAGATAGATGGGTAGATCGATAAGGGCGCTCTGCTGAGTCTACTTTGCCTACGGATAGGTATGTGTTTAGCTGGCTGTGCTTACTGTGAATAAAGTCTTCATCTACCAATCGGCGAGGCCGGCATGTACAGATGGCATGTGTATGTTACTCTAAGCCTCGATGGACGCAAAGTGTAGATATTTACAGTGGCTGGGGTCCAAGGACTGGGAAGATCTAGATGTTTCTGAGATCTCGCTCGCCATATATATAGCGGTCCGGTGGTTGGTTGGTAGAACCTGCACCCGTAAAGCAAGTACAAAGTTCCAACCCACTCACTCACCCTGCGCACTGCGTGCGCCCTTACTTCCAGTGAGCGTCATTGCACGTACCTTGCAGACGTTCATTCGCCCAGGCCCTGGGTATCGTGTCCCTGGTATCTTGTCACCCGCATGTGTCACGCTTGTCACGCAGGTACACAAGTGGGTTTTGGTGGGAGTGAGAACTGGTGAATAAAGTCCATTGTATCCCAGGACTGGCGAGTCTGAGCGGTTGAATGGGAGAAAGAAGGAGAAGAAGGAGAAGGCACGTCTTGTAGTCATAGCCAGAGCTAGGACAACTTGTTCCAGGCAGAAGTATATATACGTACAGGCCACGTCCAGACTACATGTACAGAATGCAACGTTGGTAACAACCAACATAAATTTCTACGAGGCAGGTCGGCGATGGACTTTATTCTCTCAGCATAGTGAATGTACTAGGAAGAGACTGCCTTGTTTGTCAATAGACTCCTTATCTTGCAGCTCGAGGCTCGAAGTTTTATACTCCCGGGGCCGGCATCTCATCCTACCGATTTCGAACTATAAAAGCCAGCTCGGGCTTTACCACAGATACGGTAGTGGAAAGACCATTCGCGTTACCAGAGTTTCGTTCGTCGCGCGGTTCCAGAGGCCGGTTGGTCGATTGCAATGCATCTTGACATGCATCATGCATTATCACTCGGCGCAGATGCACCGAACGCCGCAGCAGATACAGGTCAAGCGGTGGGAGCTCGGTTAGCTTTTGTGTGAGGGAATCCTGCAAATACCGGAAAGCTTGATTGCATTGCTGAGGTCAGTTTTTGCATTTTTACATGCGCTTTGTCTAGATTATCAGTCTAGCTGTCGCTCAATATCCTCGAGGATAATAAAACCCTAATCACCCCCTCCACAGTCTTATCGTCAATTCTATTATCTCTACCGCTATCTATAACCTCAACCCCCCCCCCCCCCCCCTTTTTTTTTCTCTCACTCTCTCTTCACCACCAAATAAATATCGAAAAATATCATCAAAAATGCCACCCGCCATCCCCCCGGGCCTCAACCCCCTCCAAATCTACCGCCAAACCAGGCACGTATCCCCAATTCTCCCCTATCAGAATCCCCCACTAACACAGCTAACAGCCTCGGCACCTCCCTCGCCGATTCAATCGACACCCTCATCCAGCGCAGCGCCATGACCGAAGCCGCCGCCAACATGCTTATGCAGCATTTTGACCGCGCCATGACCGCCCGCCTCACTACAGACCTTAAGTCCACGATCTCTATCAATGTATTTACCCTCCCCCATCCCCCCTCTCATTCTATACATCATCCTTTTACCTAGCCACAATACTAACAACAGAAAAAAACAACAGGGCAAAATCGAAAACTACCGCTTCTGCGACGACATCTGGTCATTCACCATCAGCGACGCCGCCGTCAGGATCTCACGCGCCGGCGGCCCGCGTGAGAAGGATTCCGTCTATGTTAATGGGCAGATCAAGCTTACAGCATGGAATGGAGTGCCAGTGCTGGCAGCAGCGGTAGAAGAGGATGAAGGTGGGGGAAGGGGGAGAAGTAAGGGTAAGGGGAGGGGGAAGGGAAAGGGGAGGGCTAGGGGTGGCAAGGGAAAGGAGTAGTTTTAGAAATTAAGAGGTTTTTTTTGAAGCGCTAGGTGGTGTTGGAGGGTAGTGTGATTAATAGTGACATTAGACAACAGGTATAGGACCGTGATCAAGATGGCCCAACATACTATATCGACAAACGGTCCACAACCGCTATCTCATCAACCCATGAACAAATAATGCCAAAGCTCTTATTCTACACCACGGGCCTTAGTATTCGAGCCACTCGGGCGCAGTACGAGTACGTATATCCTATTTTCATGGCTGGAATAAAAAGACTCTACGTATATACATGTGTTTGCGTTTTATCATTGATAGACCACATGCCTGCATGTCATGAATATATCAATCAATTACTACTAGACCACATGGTACTATATGCATGGCCGGAAGGTTGCAGATACTTTATGAACAAATAAATAGATAATTCATGATCAGTTTTTGACCAGATCCGGTGGTTGGAGTGCCTTGAAGCCGGGAGGGCGTTGGGGGCTTTCTAGAATTAATTCTATGGTGGCAATAATATCTGAGTCCGCTCTACGAGGGTCAAGGGTTTTGAGCACCCGATTAACTGAGAGATCGAGATTCGGGAATCGGGATCTAGAGTGTACGAAGAATTCAACTCTCCGTTATATATAGGGTAGAGAAGTCGAGAAGTGGTATTATGGTCTTCTTTCCCATGCGTTGATTTGCATTCGCTGCTTTTTGTGCCTTTGCCTTTGACTTTGCCTGTTGTTGCTTCGCTTTCCTAGTAACTCTTCAACTTCTATAGCTAAAGGGTTTCCTTTAAATTTATTCTCTGCGCTGTGTTCCGATCACGAGATAGCTTATAATAGTGAGAACGATCCCCAGGAATTCGAATCGACCAGGAACTGAGAAGTAGGCCCTAATATAACATAACACGTTTTCTTTAACACATTTCGTACACCATCTTGCAGACACATTTACGAATTCTGTCGTAATTGATCAATCAATCAATCGACTTCTGTCGTGATGAGCCACAGTGATAAAATCGAGTGCTAGTTCATGACTAACTCTACCGGATCCCAACATGTCACGACACTGGAATAAAGACCGTCAGGCTTTATCCTCAACTCACAATAAACTCGGCTTTTAGTTCATTGTTACTGTGGAATGCTGTCTGGGGCTCTGTTGGTTTTTTTGGGTTCCATATAAAAAAAAAAATTCCCCCCCGCGCACTTGGTTACGTTACACGCACCATCCCATATATGTCCATCCATGAGGCCCCGCACAGGATTCTTTATCAAAATTTCAGGCTCATTGATCGACTCCAATCAAGACACCGGAAGGAATCGCAATTGCAGTATGCCGCCACAACACAATCATGACAGGGCTAGAGTGGCGATATCGAGACCTCTAACGTCCTAACCTAAGTAGCACCGCCACCTACCTTACTTGAAAGGCGAAACCCTCAAAATAGTGGAAAGGATAGGCCAGTACATATCCCCACTAAACCGTCAAAGACATACTACACATCAAACCAAGAAGCCCAACCGTACTCCTGAGGAGTCTGTCGAGAGTTATGAAAAAGCCAAACTACCTAGCTAGGCATTAATTACCCCAACAAAGGATGAACCAGGTAGGATCTTATGGAAGAAACCCGGCCATGACCTGCTGCAGCAAGCCTCTGCTCTAGATCCAAGGCCATCGGTCATGGGGGTGGCAGTAGGGTGGATGGGAAGGGCACATAACCAGAAGCATGTCACGTAAACCGACACAAAAACAGAATATAGGACTTGGAAGTCAGGAATTTTATAATGGATATTGGGAGGAACTAATAAAAGGCTGACATTTTATAGAGTCACGAAAATGGATGAACTTATTAAAAACCGAAGACCTTTTAATTAGGTGGCCAAAACTGGAGACCAATTGATACGAGCAGATCATTTATATTAACATACAGGAATCACTATCTCTATATCGCATCGTAATCACCTATCCGAAAGAACCCATGAACAAGAAAAAAACAATTAACAGTTGCCGACCACCACCAAACAGAAAACCCAAACCCCATTTTTTTCATCAACAAAAGAAAAATCGTAAGTTATGGAAAATTAGATCAGAAGTCGTCCTCATCCTATAATAATATATTAGTATTGATTCAAAGATATCGATTGGAAAATGGTAACTTACGCTGAAGACTTCTTCACCACGCTTTCTCCTGGCCATACGATCCTTCTTCTTCTTGCGGAGCTCAGATGAAGTGAGCTTCTTCTTCTTCTTGCCACCCTCAATCTTGTTACCCATAGCGTCAAATTGGTCTTCCTCCTCCTTCTCACCTCCCAATCGAGGTCCTGAACCCTGTCCAGTAACCCAATTGTGTCCGGAAGGAGTCATCATTCCGTTCATGACACTCCAGACTTCCTCAGTGATCTCCTTGGTGAACTCCTCGGAATGAGTGATGATGATAACACCACCCTCGAAGGTTTTGAGAGCACCAGACAAGGCACCAAGCGAATCTCTGTCAAGATAATTGGTGGGCTCGTCAAGAACGATCAAATGTGGGCGTTGCCATGTGGCGGCAGCAAGGCAGACCTTGACACGCTGACCACCAGAGAGACCCCTCATGCGAGAGTGGGAGACAAGCTCGGCATCAAGACCGAAGTTGGAGCAGTGGATCTCAATCTCTTTACGGACGAGAGGACGGAACTGACCGTTCTTGATTGACTCGGCACGATCGACCTCGGCAACCATCTTGGCGTGGGAAGCGATAAGCTCGGTACGGGGAATCCAGGCGTTGTCGGAAGTAGACATGACAATCCACTTCTCGTTCTTCAAACCGACGTTCTCTCCGAGAGTGAACGAACACTCGTATTCGTAAGAGTTCTTGAACTTTCTGCGGGATGAAACGGAGATAACACGACGCTGGGTACCCTCGATCCTGAAGATCTTGTTCATGGCCTGCTCATCATCCTCGGTGATCTTGGTGTTGGCACGGTCCATAGTCTCGCGATCCTCACCAGTCTGGAAACGCCACTGAATGTACTCTGAGGGGGTTTTGTCGAGATGGTTATCGATGTGGGCGAAGGCGTGTTGCTTGATGTAAGCAATACGGATGTTCTCGTGCTGGTAAACGTCACCACCGGTGGGAATCAATTCACCAGTAAGAACATTGACCAAGGTTGACTTTCCGGCACCGTTGGGGCCAATGACGGCAATACGGGACCCAAGAGAGCACTGGAAGGTAATGTCCTTGAGCTGGGGCTTTTCAGTACCGGGGTACTGGAAGGACATGTTGCTAACACGAATGATAGCCTTGGCCTTGGTCTTGACACCCTCAAGGAAACCTGGCTCGGGGAACTTGAACTGGAGTTCTGAGGCTCCGAGCTCGTAGTAGGACCTAGCAGATGGGACCTTTTCGGTGAAGGCCTTGAGGTTACCTCTGTAGCGCTTAAGCTTGAAACGCTCGTAGTGGATAATGTGCTGGCACACATTATCAAGGAAACCAGAGTCGTGGGAAACAATGATGGAAGTGCAGGGAGAGTTCTTGAGGTAGTTCTCGAGCCACTTGACGTTCTGCCTGTCCATGTGGTTGGTAGGCTCGTCGAGAAGAAGGATATCAGGGTTCTCGAACACAGCACGGGCAAGAGCCAACTTCATCTTCCAACCTCCGGAAAGGGAGGTGATGGGGGCCTCGAACATGGAAGCAACGAAACCGAACTCCAAAAGCTTCTCTTGGATGTCATCCTGGGAGATGGTGGCACCAGTCTCACGGAGTTTGTCGCAAGTCCAGCCAATAACAGTCTTCTCAGTATCGGCGGAGTCGAGATCGTGCTCAACGAAGACGGTCTTGACTTCGGACTTCTTAGGGAAACCCTCGACCTGTTCGTTGTTGATAGCACGCATAAGAGTAGATTTACCGGATCCGTTGGGTCCGCAAAGACCGTAACGTTGACCTCTCTTCAGTCTCAGATGGGTCTGGTTGAGCAAGATCTTAGCACCATAAGCCAAGTTGAAAGTGCAGTTGCAAAGATCCTCGCCCTCCTCATCATCCTCGGCAACTTCGTCCTCCTGGTAGATAGGGGAAGCACGCTTGCGAAGAGTCTCAGCAGTGCTCTGGGCCTCGCCTTCGGGAAGGAAAGCAGCAAAGTAAGGGGTAGTGTGTTCAGTCCAGATAGCAGACTCGTTCTCCTTCTCATCAACCAAGCTACCGGCGATGGCAGCAATGTAGGCGATGATGGGCTCGAACTTAGTAACAAGGTCCTTGTGGCTTGAAAGGATGGTCTTGATAGTCTCCTGGATAACCTTGGGCTCACCAGCTGATGAGACCTCGGGAATCTTTCCATCCTGAACGTTACCAACACGGATGAGGGTGTCGAGACCCTGGCGGGTCTTCTCACGAGCCTCGGGATCGGCCATGTTCTCCCAGTTCTTCTCAAGACCAGGCATAAGCTTGGGCAAGAAAGGAGCGACGATCTGGGGGTCCTCGACAAGCTTACACATGTTGTCAATAATGACAGCAGTCTTACGCTTGATGACGGTGTCGCGGTCCGCAAGACCACGCTCGAGAAGAGGAACCATGATAGACAAAGTGGGAGCCTGAACATTTTCGACGAAAACGGTGGCACCAAGAAGGTGAACAGTCTCCGGGACGTTCTCGGGCTTGGCGATACAGTTAATGAGTTCAGGAATGAATCGGTTGATATCGTTGTTGGAGATCAAAGAGCAAAGCTTCTCCATGGCGGCACGGGCACCCTTCTTGACTTCAGGCTTGGTGTCCCACATGGCCTCAGAAACGGTAGGAATCAACTCTGGAAGTCTGAGGGCAGTCTGGGAAGAAGCCTGTGCAACGAGGATATCGAGACAGCTAAGAGCGCACATCTTCTCGGGCCATTTCAGGGCCGAGACGATGGACTTAGAGAGAATGGGAAGAACAGCCTTTACAGCGTTGGGGTTGATGCTGGAAATGATGGCAACGGCAGCAGCCTCAGCGGCCTTCTTGACAGCAGTGATCTTGTCACCGACAGCCACGAGGACGTTTGAGAGCAGCGAAACGATGTAGGGCTCGATGCTAGGTGAAACCTGGTTCTCGCAGATGGCAGCGATGGCATTGAGGGCGTGTTCTCTGGCGAGAGCATCCTTCTTGTTGTTCAACTGCTTCTTGATGGTAGTGAGGATCCTGAAAAGGAATTACTTGTTAGTAAAAGCGAAAATTAATAGATAAGGAGAGAGAGGCAAAAAGACTCACTTTATAGGAACCTCATGTTCTTCGATAGGGCCATTAATGAAAGTGGCAAGGTTGTGTGCGGCGTAAGTGGCCTCGTCCTTGGTCTTTGAAATGGTCAACTTCTGGAGGAGTTCGTCCAAGACCTTGACGGACTTCTGGTTCTCAGCTGCGACAGCGGCGTCGGTGGGGTTCATGGTGTCGAGAGCAGGTGCCATTTGAGAGGTGGAAATTCTAGTTGAGAGGGGGAAGTCTATAGATATATGTGTGGGAGGAAGAAAAAAGAGGGGTTGAAGAAAAGACCAAAAAAGAAAAAGCAGTCTAGACTCTAAGAGTAGCAAGAAAAACTTTTTTCAGACGGAAAGCGATAAGGGCACGGGAACCGGGGGTTGGCTGGTAGAAACGGGGAGGGGTTGAGTGGTTCGGATCTAACTGAACACGGATAGAAGCAAGAAGCAGAGCGTTTGGTTTCGCTGTCCCGTCTATGGAGAGAAAACCCGTAGAGAAAAAGAAACCCAAAGACAGAAAAATCTATGAGAACAACAAGAAAGAGAGATGTGTATGAAGAGGAAAGAGAAAGGCGGACTTTGGGAGGGAGGAAGGGACCCTTATATTCAGGCAGGGAGTTTATGTAACAATGCCAGAGAGGTGGGCTAAAGCTTGGGCGGTAAGGAGAAACCAAAGGCAAGAAGGTGAAAAAAAGAAAAAATTTCAACGAGAGAAATTCCAAAAAAAAAATCTTTCCAGCGGCAATTAGTCTAAGCCCGATTTGGGATGAGGCTGTAGCCCTTCCTTCGCCTTCTGTGCGCCAGCCTCGCTGACTCCCTCCTTGGCACTTGTTATCCATTGGCCACACCCTCGAATTGCCCACACCCACACCCTATTCGGCCCTATTTACAATTACCCGCTCTTCTCCACCCACTCCCCTCCGAGAGAAAAACCCCTTCTCTCCATGGTCTCTTGCCACCTTGTCACTTGTACTCGCACACTACAAGGTACGCTCTTTGGGCTCAGTAATAATACCTTCTTGCATAGGGTACCTCCATTTACCTATTCAAGGAGAAATAAATATGGCCGCTGCACTGAGTTGGCACAACCAATTTGTAGGCACAGGGATCAGGCTGAGTAGCATTCATGTATTCCAAAAGATGTGTGTAGTGCCCCTGATGGTCGGTGGTGGTGGGTGAAAGAAGTCTAGGAGGTCCTTCTGGAAGTGTACCCACTTTGGTATGACGGTTCATGTTCCGACTTCGGTATAGACTTAGAGTATGTACCTAAATGCGCCCTCTCGCTGTGCCTACCTACTCACTCCTCCCTCGGCCCTGCCCTGAAAACTCTAAAAATTTCGTTTCGTCGGTGGCGGCGGGGAGGAAAATCTGGGGCAACTTCTAGAGCCTTAGAAATCAATGTTTTCCCCTAACTACTCTACCTCATCTTTCGCTTCACGGGACTCGGGAGGCAAAGCAAAGCAGAGCGCAAATTTCTTCTGCAACTGACACATCCACAACACAGAAGATTTGAATCAGGAGTTGTTCGAGAAAGCCTAGGAGAAACGCCGTGTGCCTGTCCAATTGTCTGATCTAGACTCTAATTTGATGCCTCAACTCGTCTATCGCGTCAACGGACCGACAACCTCTGGTCGGTGTATTACCTACCTGCAACACTCATGGCAAGAAACATCGGGTATGATCGCTCAAGAATCGCGCTTTCAGTTGATTGATTTTAGAGCACATGTGTCCTCATAAACAGCAGTAAGAACCGTGCCTGTTTACGAACCGCTCCGAACCTCAATTATCATAGGTCGAAACGCAAGGGTCCATCAACACACACCTATCCAATCCGGCAATTTCTTCAGGCAAGATCAAATCTCACAACAGCAAGATGCGGCCACCCCACCAATCCCGTCCATGCATTTCTGTTCCTGGTTGAGGGTGTGCTCGTTATTTACAAAATCAGGGGCACGATGATTGATCTTTCATAATTTGATACATTATTACCTACTTAGTGTAGTTAAATCAATTTTGATATCCATTCTCTTCCACCTCTGTTGAGTTTGTTGTCATGGTCGTCTCTAGATAACGAAGACCCTACACGGTATTTGCGCCTTATCCGAGTCCCTTATCCCCCGGACTTCAAACTCGGTCTAGCCGCCGGCGAATAACTCGCCCCGCAAAGTCTCAGTGCAAGACAAAGAACAACTTATCGATAAAGCATCGATTATACCACCCTTGCTAGCGCCGTCTGCGATAGACAGGGGGTTAGGATTCTGATTTCAACACCTCTATTTTTTTTTATTTTCTCTATGTTTTGATGTTTGAACAAACTCCCTTTCTAGGTACAGTTTCATATCTAAGATCTGATGAGATTTGACTCTCCGGTGGCAAATCGATTAATTAAAAAAAAGTGCTTTGTATCTGGGTTCTTCATCCTCAAACCAGTACTTTACCTACTCCATCTAAAGTAAGTACATGGCATACTATATGTACCAACAACACAGGAGGGATTTGCCGGATATCTGTCCTTACCGGCAACTCCCCGTCGCCGCTGGTACGACAAACTCCTCCCGGGATCTCAATCCATCCTATCACTACAGCATCAAATCGGCAGGTCTAAAAGGACATCTGTCGTGCTGTGGATCACCTGATAGTTAGTCCGCGACAGCGCGCTGAGATTTTTCTGCGAAACGCGAATTGACTACATACATGTTCTGGAGTTGGACTCTACATAGCGCACAGTCCTCTATGGTCCTCCTCGCATATCAACAGCTTATGTAGAGCTGGGAAGTTAAACAGTTCACAGGACACCAGTGGGCAATTTACTGAACCAGGTACCTACATACTCTGTGTTTGCATCACGTCACTGTCAAAAGGAGGTAGAGCTCAAGAGAGGCTTGGTCAGTTTGCCTCAAAATTTGTTAATGAACCACGAGAAGCTCCTACCTATCGCCACCGTTTCCTGCTTCGTTTCCCCGCTCGAGGGGTTTTCTCACCAATAATTCAAAACTCCAGGCTTTCAAGTTTGTCTGTTTGTTGGTCAAATTTATTAACCGCTACGTAGCTAGGTCTTTTTTTCAACTCGGCCTTTGCGATATCTGTTTGCTTCGCGTCGAGTTCTTCGCCTATGGTGTCTTCATAACTCCCTATAAAATCCGGACATATACCCACCATCTTCGTTTTCCACATGCAAGTTTGCAGACGCCTGCAGAAAGAAGCCACCACAACCTCCTGAAGCCTTAGAATATACCAACCTCGTCCTGCATCCTGTGTATTTACGTCTTCCCGCATCTTGCATTTACACACCCTTTACTCTCCCTATCCCTTACATACCAACCTCACGCCGTTTTAACGCTCTGAATCTTGATCTATCTGCAGCTCTATCTTTCTCTACACACCCTCCATAAAAACATCACAATTAGCACACAGAAATCACCTCACTCGTTCCTGTCAGATCTCGCTTCTGACTCCTATATCTGTGTCAGCGCTACGACGAAGAGCCTTCTATGTGTTCTTCTCTGCATGAACCAGTTTTTTTCCCACCCTCCCACTATTAATGGTTGCGCCAGGCGTGGGCGCGCGGCCGTGGCTATGATAGATAACGGGGGTGGACCCCCATTTACTTTTCGGGGAGCTGTATTTTTGCAGCCGATGGCGCGTTCGAGAAAAATCTGAAACTTGGTTGATAACGAGGGAAATGATTGGTCTCGCTAGCTAGCTCGCTTCGCTTGGCTTACCAGCTAGCCCACGCCTTATTGTGGAGGTGCAACTAATCCTCAGCCACAGTCAGCCGGTGAGCGAAGCTTATTTTACCCCATCTCTCTGAACTTCTGGGGAAGTAATACGGGGTAGACAGCTAGGGCTTTAATCTAGTAAACAAACAGTTAGCAGGTAGGCTGTGGCAGTTCTCGCCCTATGAGAAATGGCTGGTTTAGAATCCCATGGGTAGTCGGTTTTTCCAATCACTTTACCCTTACCTACTTGAGCCAGCTTTGTTTCTGCTTATTTTACCAACCCTTGACTTCCTGGGGGAGGAACTCCGAGAGTTCCATACTCTACCATGGTACCCTGACAGGAGAAGCACTGAGGATCACAATCTACTCGCCTAGTAATAAAGTGGTTAGGAAGTTATCATGATCATTGTATGTACCGCAGTCCCGGTAGTAGAGAACAGGCTGGTTTCGAATTCCTCCCCGGTCGAGCTTGCTTCTGGAGGAAGCAGTCAAAGTATGTAGATTCCGAGGGAAACAGCTCCAATACAGATGTCTACATGTAGGTAAAAATGAAGCTAGAATACTAGGCTATTTCGAATACCATGCGGTTACGCCTCAGTCATGATGGCACTTAGGGGAGCCCAGTTTCAAATTCCATGGCTCCTCGGCGAGAGTGCCTGCTCTACTACCCCTGACCTGGCATTTTCGGCATATTTATTTCTGCATACTCTACTCTATCTGACGGTAGGGAGACCACAACTTGTCCTCTCCCTGCCCAGTGCATATTTGTTGACTCTAGACGTGTTCCATGCATGCATAAAGAAGAGAGAAAAAAACAGGGAATATTCGTGTATGATGTAGGTACTCTATGTGGGATATGGCTACCGCAGTTTTTTTTTATTTTTATTTTTTTTTAAAAAAAAAAACGTTTTTATATTGTATATTGGAATGCGAGTAAGTTACAGTACTTTAAGTGTATTAATTACCTATATGTACTCATGCACGGTACTGGAGTAAAGTACTCTACATTCAGTTGAGACACATGCGTTTGCGTGTGTGTTATCATAGAAAAAATAAAATAAAATATAAGTATGGAAAGCAATAATATTATGCAGTGAAGATAATTAAAACTGCTAACCTGCGAATAAATTCCATAGCCCCCAGTGTATCTCACGCCTAAGAAAATTCGTAATCTGGAGTCTGATAGTCGTGAAGCGCCGTTCCAGCAGAAGAAAAAGAAGAAATGTCATCCGTACATCCATCAATACATAAAAGAAACCCATACCGCCCCGCACGCCGCATGAATGGATATGGCCTAAGAATCATTACCCCCTACCACGACAAACCAACCCCTAGTCCGAGTCAGGGCTGGAATCGCTCGAACTCGAACTGCTACTACTGCTACTACTGCTGGAGGAGCTACTGCTAGAGGAGCTATCGCTACTGTAGCTATCTGCGCTCCCAGCCCTCTTGTGATGATGGTCACGGTGCTCGCGCTGCACATGGTTCTTACGGTGTCTATGTGACGTCTTTACGTATCTCGATCTCTCGCTCGACCCACTACTGAATACGTGGCCTCCGCCAGTTGAGTACCCGTATGCAAATAACGAAGTTAGCAAAGGCTCCTTAGTCGGCTTTTCTATACTATAACTGAGCCGGCGACTATGGCTTCGACTATGGCTTCGGCTATGGCTCCGGCTATGGCTTCTACCATGGCTGTGACTGGAGAGATACTCTCGAGAACGGCCCGATTCCGAGGACGAATCACGGCGGCGACGAGAACGGGAGGTGGAGTGGGAATGAGTGACCACATAAGTGGAGCCATGGCTGCTATATGCGTTGGGAGATAGGGTATTGCTGGAGGAGCTTTGGTGCGACGAGCTGCGTCTATGTCTTGAGCTTGAGCGGCCACTCCCTGCGACTACGACTTGGAGTGTATTCGACGAAGTCCTCCCACCACCACCGCTCGTTCCTCCACTGTGACCTCCATGCCCCGAACTTGATATCCTTCCACCTGACCCGGAAGAGCCGGCGTTTATAAGTTGGTATGAAGTGGTGTGAGTAGTGGAGGTTAATTTTTTCTTCTCCCTCCTCTCCCTCTTTTCTCTCCTTTCCTCTCTCTCCTTCTTATCCCGCTTCTTTTTATGCTTCTTGAGTTCGTCATTGGCTACATTTGCGGTAATCGCACCTCCTATTGCGCTAGTGATAGTAGTCATGAAGTTTCCACCTGTCTTGTGCGCAAGATATCCACCCGCCGCACCGCTGATTAGAGTTGATCCCAGACCGCGCTCACTAGCAGGTGCATTTGGGTCGAAGGGCTCCTCATATTCTACGGCTGCTTGAGAATAGGCGCTGTGACGATGCTTCTTCTTGTGGGAAGCCTGTTCAGTGTAATGCGATACCTGATCATTGTGATGTTGATGCTCGACTACCTGGCCACTTTGAGAATAGGCACTATGACGGTGCTGTTTTCTGCGGGATGCCTGGTCAGCGTAGTGCGATACTTGATCATCGTGGTGACCGTATAGCCCTACTACCTGGCCTTCCTGTGAATATGTACTACTGTGACGTTGCTTTTTCTTTCGAGATGCGACATCAGTGTATTGTGATACCTGGCCATGGTCGTTGTGGTATTGTTCTATTTGGCCATGTGCGCTTGTGTGATTGTGGCTGTAGCCGCCGCCGTAGCCGCCACCGTAGGAGTCTGTAGAAAGAGTAAATCCCTCTGGAAGGCTGCCACCGAATTTCTTGTAGTAGTCGATCGCACCTTGAATTGTGGGTGGGCCATATGGTTGCTACAACACGATGATCTGTCAGTATATCGCATGTGATGATAATGAAGGATTTCCGTGATGACGGATAAGCATAAGCAGCCCTGTCATCAGCGCACAATCAACCACCATGTGCGTTGACATGCAAGGTACCCCCATCCATAACCCATACCAATAGAACCAAGATCGCGGTAACAAAATAAACAAGAATAAAAATGCTGTTGTGAAGTAAAAGTAGTACTGACCTCCTCTGGTGGAAACCGCGAAACAAAGTCAGGATGCCAGCCTTGCACACTTTGTTCATGGCCGTGTCCATGTTCATATTCTTGTCCGTGTCCATGTCCGTGTCCATGCTCATATTCTTGTTCATGTACCAGAGGCCCATGTCCATGCCCATGCTCATATTCATGCTCCTGCTCATGACCATGATAAAAGGCCGGGGACCTGGGCATCGGTGGAGAAACACTTTCCCCTCTTCCCCGCGACCTACTGCCTCGCGACCTACTGCCATCGCTATGATGCGCCATAGACCGCGGCTGTGTATGGTAGGATTCGAGCGGAGCGCTGGAGCCGTAGTATTCATCAGCAGCCATGATGATGATACTGATGCGCGATAGATTGTTTTTTTTCTTGAGATGAAATTCAACTCCGATGAGGGGGGTGGGGGGAGTTTCCAATGGTATTTAGATGCGGGAGAATGGGAGGAAGGGTCTGACTCAAAAGAGGGATGGAGGGACCACAGAGAGGCTCTTGACCAGCTGACGACTAGGATAGGGTCGAATTTTTCACACGCTCACCACCTTATCTCGCTCGCAGACCCTGAGAGCCTATTATTATCGTGGTCTTGGGAGGCGGCGGTTGGGGGTGACGGCGCATGATCGATCCAATCAATAGTTCTGAAAGGGGGGGCTGTCATCGAGGATTTGAGAAAAAGAAACCCCCCTTTCAATAAATACTTACATTCTTGAATTCATTTCGGCTGTAGATACTTCTAACTACCCATCATACCTGCAGCGCTTTCTAATTCGCCCTGATAATCAGCATCTAGTTGAGACCGCAATACAAAACTGCCAAAGTACCTGTCATCAGAACCCAACACAAAACCCCTCATCAGTTGGGTACCTGCTCATCTGCATCTATTGAGATGGGTTGCCCTGAATGACCTAGCTGGGAAATGTAAGCGCAGAGAATTGCGGCGTGGCATGCATGTTTGGTGTAAAGTTGATGTTACATGTGCTTTGTGAAGGTACTAACTAGTGTGTAGCCGCGATGCGATCGGCAAAGACACACATAAGGTTATCTGACTTAAGCTTATGTAATGCTGTTTGCATGGGTTTATCCAGACGACAAACAAAGAAGGACAATAGAGAGAGACCTGAAACGCGCTTGTGATGGGATTTCTATTGTTCTCGTTAGGCGCCAATATATGTCATGGTGGAAGCTCCACATCCGCACAAGTGAATCTTGCGCTTGCTCTCTTCTAATCTAATAGACGCCCGTAACTAGATATAAAAATGATATTTCTATCTTACTGCTTGTATGTAGTAGCATTGAACGACTTTGTTCCTGGGCGGTATATACAGTCCTGGGATTTTGGCTCGAAGCAATGAATCAGCTCAGAGGATCACAAGTAATCACTCGAGAAACGCATCTGATCTATGAGCCTTATTTTGATTGATTACCTACTTCATTCATTGTATGTAAATCTATGAGCCTTAGCTACATATCTCAAATCTATTTCCCGAATAATAGTCAAAAAGCAACTTTTGTATAGAGTAGAGAAGCCAAGTTAATTGACCATCTTATCTGCTGAAGCACGAAAGCGTCCGAGTCGTATCTGACGCTGGCAATGCTGCAGAAGCAGCCCCAACAGGCCGGTAGGCTCATCGTGTACGAGACACTCGCTCAGAGATGCCCCATGCCGATGAGCCAACACAGGAACGGATGAGGGAAATATTTCAAGATTTCCCCGCTGATTCTGATTTGAAATACGGTACTGTGGACCCAAAGGCCAGCAAACCGGTCATGTACTCAGCGCAATTCAGCAGACGATGATCCTCTAAGCCGAATCTACCTGCTGGACCCGGGCGGGCATCAAGCGGCTAGCCCACTGAGGAAGAGACCACGACGCCCGGAAATGCGCAACCAGCACATCCACCCAAAGCCACATCAGCCCTAAGTCTGTCGGCCCGAGTCGAGTCGGGAAAAGATCGTTATTGACATGCGTTCTGGCTGAAATGGCAGGGGAGGCTTGCCAAGGCTATTTCCTATTGGCTCCTGACGACAACACACACACGAAGTGGCCAAAGAAAACTGGGACAGGCTTCGTGAAGGCAAATCCGCTACCTAGATATCGTTCGAAAAGTCTCTTAGTTATGGCTAAGGCAAAGCGTTGCAGGTTAATTGGGTAAATGGCTGGATCTACGGTTTCAAGCGTCATCAAATCTCAAGCGAAGTTCGAGTGATATCACATGCATCAAGTCACCAAGTCACAATCACAAAACACTCAAACACTGTAAACAAAAGTAACAAAAGGTTTATAGATAGTAAAACTATCTATAAGCTCCCCCCCCCTCCGCCCCATAACAGCCCACGGCGATCATCACAATGATACCGCCGCGACCACCCCCCAGCAATCAGTACAATTGCCCTATGAGAGTACCGGAAAACCAGTACTCCCACAGGGCGATGGTGCCCCCACGACCGCCCACAGGCAATCAGTACAGCCGCCCTACAAGAGTAGGGCGGCTGTCATGGGCCCGGAAGAAGCAGCCCAGAATCAGTACAGTGGCCCTACAAGAGTAGAGCGACTGAAACAAGGGGCACCACCCCCACAATCAGTACAATCGCCCTACAAGACCACAGCATAAGCTATGTGCTTGTAGGACGACTGCTAGCATCACAAAGAGCCTCTATATCGTAAAGTTAGTCAAGGTAAATTTATACGAGTGAAAGAATCATGATTTACGCACATGAGGTCCCAAGGACCTATAAGACAACTCGCGTCTCCCTTATGTATATGGGAGAGCGATTCCAGTCCATCGAAGGACACGGCTGGGAGAAAGGATGCTCTTATAAACCCCGGCCCAGCCAGCAATGGGGGTGAAGGGAGCGCTAGCGGCATGCTCAACCTTCAGGGCCGGGGTGTATTCCTTCACCGCATGAGACGGTGAAACGAGGAGGAATCGGTCTATCCAGCGAATATTAGTTACACGTATCCATAAATCATAATCGATGAGAGGGATGATAAAGATATTTACATTGGGCTTGGGAAGATCTGCTAGCCAGAGTCCATTCCCTGAGAAAATCTGCAGAAAGAGTCATGTTAGCTCGATGAATATAGATCGAATCGGTGTTATAGTTATAGAGTAGAAGACTTACAGATTCTCATTTAGGGCTACAGCAGCAGCTAAATGGTTGGTGATAACCTTCCTCGGATGATGGAGAAGGAAGCGCTTATCATGTCACTGAGAATTTAAGGGAGAAGAAAGAAGAGGAGGAGGAGGAGAGAGCTGGAAATGAACCAGTGCCCAATGCGTCATTGTGGGAAAGGTTTACCTGCCGTCAATTTATGACTGCTTACTCCACAAAGCTAGCATTAGGGGCACAACCCGATATATTCTACCCGAGGGCCCATACACACATGTATTGCCTGGCTAAGCTGTATGTAAATGCCTTTATGCCTCGCTTAGATCTATAGAAGCTTCATGTCTGGTTAACTCTTGCTGTAAAGCGAGAGGTTACGGGTTCGAATCTCGTGTCCCCCACACCTGGTATACCCATCTAGCCGGTTGGGCGAAGTTTCCCCAGCCACTTGCTCAAATGAGGATAGCGGTAATCTCTTGAACGTCGCAATAACCTCACGGTTGCATGCGAGTATGAGAGATTACATGTAGTTATGATTATTATTGTTATAGAAGCTTCATAATTATAGTTATGGTTCGACTTTTACTTTTTAATTGTGCCGCACACAGACTTTACCTACCATGCGCCATAGAACTCGAATCTCAAGCAAAAGCTTCCTGAGGGCTGCACAAGACTACAAGTTTGCAAAAGCTTAATCATCAGTTCTACATACGGAGTGCCGAAACACCTCCACACCCTTAATATTCTCTTTCTTGGCAGATGTGAGGCGTTAGTCTATTAAGATAATTACATAAACCGCAATGTTAAGTACATATAGGCACGTAGAGTTCTCCCTATCAATCGAGACAAAGGAGGCCCACCTCTAGCTCCTGTTACAGCTATCAGTCTTAGTATGTATCGTATTTCAAATTACAATGATCATGAAGCCCCCTGAAAAATGTTTTTGATACCCCTCGTTACGAGATTGAAACAAAAATCATTGACCCCCGAAACTACACTCCATTAAATATAATCTTGAAAATATCCCCAACTCTATAAAACCAGCGCCATTATCGCTCCTAATAGAAACTCCATCACATCCTCGATACACTCACAACAGCACAACTACAACACTCAATTCCTCATTCCCAATACCCATTTCCAAACTTACTCAATTCAACTCAACTTTACCACCACAAATATGAACAACTTCCAATTCACCGTTGACGGCCAGATCGTCGATCTCGACACCTTCGTCCCCGAAGAGCGCCATCTTTCGCCCAACGACCCTGCCTACGCCCTCATGGACCTCTACCTCGGGGACAAAATGGGAGTCAAGGGATCTCTAAGATCCAGCCAATCATCGCACACAGGCAGCCACCGTAGTAGCCAAAGTGGATACGAGACTTCCGGTTCAAAGGCCAGCAAGCACAGCAGCCGCGGAGGATACGAGACTGGGGGATCCGCAGCCAGTGGATACCCCGGCTCTCGCACTCCTACTGTTGCATCCAACCGCACTTCTGGAGTTGCTGGATATCTTGAAGCACCGCCATCGCAGGCGTCTCACCATAGCAATAGGTCTTATGGTAGTGAGCATAGTACTATCAGAGGAGAGCCTTCAGTTCATTCTCATGTGTCTTCTAGACATACCGAGATTGGATCGCCTTCGGTTCACTCTCGTGCATCTTCTAGACACACTGAGATGGGCTCCCCTTCAGTTCACTCCCATGCATCTTCTAGACACACTGATATGGGCTCTAGGACTCCCACCGTTGCATCCAATCGCACCGCTGGAGTAGCTGGATATCTTGAGGCGCCGCCATCACACGCATCCCACCATAGCACTAGATCTTATGGCAGTGAGCATAGCACCATCAGAGGAGAGCCTTCAATTCACTCTCACGCATCTTCTAGACACACCGAGGCGGCCTCTCCTTCGATCCACCCCCGCCATACCGAAGCCCACGCGCCATCCCACATCTCGCACGCCGCATCCCGCCGCACCGAGGTCTACTCGCCCTCCCACATCAGCAGATCCAACACCCACCACAGTAGCTCTCGTGTTAGTGCTGCGCCGAGCATCAAGAGATCAAGCACTGGTACGCTCTCGGGGTACGACACTGTGGGGCCTGAGGATAGCATTTCGTCTGTGGAGTCCAAGTCGGGGAAGTCTAGGGCTAGCCGCCGTTAAACAGTTATAGGGTGAAGATTTAGGGGTTTATTTTTGGTTACGATATGGTATGGTATGGTAATATTGTTGACATTGACCGAGTTTCTTTGGCTTCTGATTTCTGATTTTGATTTCTTTCGATTGATTATTCGTTTATAGATTGCGTTGATTTTTAGTACCTAATGTGTTGGAGTGTAGCCTCTGGTTGTTGATCATCATTGCATACTGTTTTCTGTTTTCTGTTTTCTGTTTTTGATATTGCATTTATTCCTGTCGATTCGCCACGTGCACTCCTGTACCAAAAGCTAAAAAAAAATAAAAAAAAAAGATCAAGTTGGCGTGGGAGAAACATTCTCGATACTCGAGATTATTACTCCCAGCTCCCAAAAAAAAACATTGTTCCTAAAACTGATAGCATCTGTGATACCTCTCTTTTGCAATACTGGAATCGGAGAACATTCTCGAGACTCGAGATTGCCACTCCCGGCTCCTAAACTAAATAAACATTGTCTCTAACCCGAACTGATATCATCTGTGATACATCTCTTTTCAAGAACCATAAATTGTATGTTCAATCATGAAAAGTCACCCGTTGCTTCCAAACCATTACAACGACCAACGTCAAAGCGCAACCCAACCCAACCCAACCCAACCCAACCCAGAACCACCACGCTATAAATGTTTCAACTATAACCTCCCAGCACTATCAAAACAAAAGCTCCAGAAACGAAACGAAACCCAACCCAACCCAACGCAACAGTCCCAAGCTGCAAGTCCACCCACGCCATCCACCCAAGGATCGATCTCGCGATCGGACCCAAACCCCTCCCACGGAAAGGCCCTCTCCATTGAGTTATCTAACTCAGTCTGGGGAGGGAACTGTAGCCCACATGTAGTACACGTACTCTAACGGCATGCAGGGCACGAACAGGTGGCCGACACCCATCCTTGGCACAGTGCAGCATGCGCAGGGGGGAGGGGGGGGGGGGGGCTAATAAATCACGCTAACAGAGTATATCAGAGCACTCTCCTCGGCCGCGGGCCCCCTAACCACCGGTCCTCCCTCCCTCCCTCCCTCCCTCCTTCCTGCTGGAATCACCGCCGCTAATCATATTATTATTAAATTAATTTGTTTATTTCAAAGAAGTACGTACTTACCTCCTACATGTCGTTGCTGTTGTGTTGCACCAATATTATTCAAGGGGGGCGCCAAGTTTCCTGAAAAACATACTATTTGCTTTGCTTGAAAAACATGAAACATGATCATTGATATCAATATTTTTGATCAGAGCCGTTCTTTGGAATTCAAAGGGGAAGAGGGGAACTATGAACGTTGATAACATACAATTGGAACCCATCCTCTCCCGAATATAAAATCCTCCACACCGTCGATCGGACCAGCATCAATTCTAAAAAAAAACCACCGGAAATCGTTCAATATCCCAAATAATCATAGCCCACACCAGCCAGCCAGCTCCGATCGCCATGAAAATGAGCAACAACGCCACCCACTACTACAACTTCCAACCCCGCCATTACCAGCCTGGCGATCCGGGGTACATAGATCTCTCCTCCCGCACCGGCCCTTCCTCCGGATCAAGTGTGCGCTCGGGGAGCTCGCTACGATCGACATCGTATTACACGCATCCATCGAGTGCCAGCTCACAGAGATCCTTACAACATAACCCCCACACACAGTACTCAACTCCCCGCAGGCCCGGATACCCCGAGTCAGTCCATAGCGGGTACGCATCTTCCATCGGCTCCTACGCCTCGGCAGGGTACTGCGGGCCATCACTTTCGCCATCCGGGCGTGACAGATGGGTTCCGCCACAGGCGCCGTCGGTTGATGGCAGTAGCACTATAGGAAGAGGTGGAGCCAGATCGGAGTATTCGACTGCGTCTTCGCGGACTACAACTGATATGGGAGCGCCGTCTAGGCGGTCTTCGCTGTTGAGTCTGAGTTCGGGGGGGGATTCGGCGTACGGCAGTGGGGGCTCTGTCACTAGCAGGGGCGCTTCATTGACTAGCAGCAACCTGAGGAGGGCCAACACGAATAGCTCTTCTTCGTCGAGGTACACGGAGGGAAGGGTGTGGCCGACGAATAGCATTAATTGGGTTGTAGACCCAACTCGGAGGGCCGGAGAGCGTAGGCAATGATTGGCTTTTTATTATGATAGGGTTTGTGGTACTTGGGAGTTGGTTGTATTTGTGATTTTGGTCGGTCATGGAGTATTTGTACGGTTCATTTCATTTGTACGGTTTCTTTCGTTTGGATATTTCTTTTGTCAGCGCTGAGTTTGGGCACTGGAGGTTGGTAATACTGTAAGCTAGGTGCGGAGAACGGGCGAATTTGATGATTTGCGGCGACATGGATTATTTTGAATACTAAGGTTCAGTTCCCATAAAACAAAAGTGCTGTAAGATGTTCCAATGAAACCACTGCAATCCATCTCTTCGTTAGGCTCGTGCCTAGTACCAGGGATCAATAGTCATAAACTCACAGTAACCAGTCCCCCGCACCCAGCACCGTCAGCAACCCATCAACGGAAGCATTCCGATTTGCCAGCGTGAAACAGAGCGGCTATCGGCACGGAGAGGCCTATCAGCACAATTCCACATGACGAAAAAAAAAAAAAAAAAAAAAAATCAAAGCCTTGTTGGAAGAGATAGGATCAATAGTATTCTCAAAGAATGATGTTGATGAGAGAGCGCGGGGGGGGGGAGGTTGACAGATTTATTTATATCCAAGCTGACAAGGTGTTTACATGACGTGTCCGGGCCCCGAGGAGCCCGAGTAACTGAGCGCGAGTGATAATCCATGAGCGGTGCTACGCCCCCCCCCTCGATCGAGCTCGTCACCGCATGCACTTTCTTTTGCTCCCCTACAAAATCTATATATCAGTACATGCTTAATAGAATTACCTTTCCCCTTTCTTACCGCCTCTCTTACCTCGATCCTTCCTTACCTCCTACCTCCGCCCCCCTATTACCCCCCTCGTGTGGACGGGGCTTGGCAGGCCGAAACCCCCCAGCAGCGTGACGGGCCGAGTGAGATGCAATGATCGATCCAACCACCCACCCACCCACCCATCCGCCTGCCTGCCTGCCTACAGCTGCAGCTGCAGATGCCGCGCGAGCCCTACAGCTCCGCAAACCCTACATCACCCCACTGCCCCGCCATCTACATGCAGACGGTACTTTATCATGATTGTCGTCGTCACTGCACGAAGGGGTTCTTCTGTCTCTACTATTGATCGGTCAATGGGTTGGTTGTACCGATTCACGCCCCGAGTGAGATGAGATGACCCGCCCGCAACCGCACCGTCCGTTCTGTGTATCGTCGCCGCGGACCCCGCTGCAGGAGGGCAAACTCGTCTCCTCGCGTCCCATATCAACATCACACCGCACACCACAATGTTCTCCCCACAAGCAAGCAAGATCTTTCCATAACATAGGCTTAAGTAGCATTATCCATAACCATTCCCCTCCCCTTCCATTTCATTTCGTTTAGTTTCGTCCAGTCCCATCATGACCATATAGATAGAGTACAGCGCGCGCGCGCAAGCCAACAGTGTGTTTATATACCCCGATCTCACCACCATCCACAAGCACAAGCGCAAGCAACAAGCAAGCACAAGAAAGCAAGAGAAAAAGCAAGCAACAAGCAAGCACAAGAAAGCAAGAGAAAAAGCGCACAACAAGAAAGAAATCGATATCCAGAAACACTACAATACAGGTTAAAAGAAAGAGCACTTTATATCAATATAAAAAGCAAAAAACAGAAGAAAGAGCCCCCCCCCCTCTAGACCGCCCCCTCATCACTCCCACTCCCCTCACACGCCCTCAACGCCTCCTCCACACTCCCCACAAAATGGCTCTCCCCACCCACCACGCCCACAATCCCACTCTTCACAAACATGGCCCACACCCCGCCCTCCATCGGCACCCTACTAAACCACACGGCCACGCCCCTATTCACATACCCGCGCACAATCTCCGTCAACACCTGCGTCCCACTCCCATCCATCCTCCGCACCCCCTTCACATCAAACACCACCGTCCTCGTGCCCACGCCCCTCCCGCGGATCCGCGGCAGCGACGGATGCGCCCTCGCATCCCCGTACCGCTCCAGCCTCCTCAACCGATTCTTCAGCTCGCCCGTGTTCGCGAACGTCAGCCCCTCCGTCAGCTTCACGATCAAGCACCCCTCGACGTCCTCGAGCTCCTCGGCCGGCACCTCCTCGGCCGCCTTAAACGTGTTGAGCGTTCCCGGCACGCGGCCAAGGATCTGGATGCGCGCGCGCGTCGAGTGGCGGATGACCTGGATGAGGGAGATGCCGACGCCGATGGCGATGCCCGTCTCGAGCGACCAGATGACGGTCGTCAGGAAGACGAGGAGCATTGTCGCCAGGTCGGCGTAGGCGCGGATGTGGTAGAAGAACTTGATGTCCTCCGGCGCCTCCTCGAGGAGCGAGACGGCGACGACGGAGATCATGGCGCAGAGCACGCAGCGCGGGAGGTAGTAGAAGTAGGGGAGGAGGAAGATTGTGCAGATGATGGTGCAGAGCGAGAGCACGACGGAGGAGACGGGCGTGCGGCCGCCGGTGGCCTTGTTGACCTTGCTGCGGCCGTAGCCGCCGAAGGCGGGCAGGGCCTGGAAGCAGCCGCCGAGGATGTTGGCCGTGCCGAGGGCGATGAGCTCGCGGTTTGAGGAGATGTTGGCGTCGAGCGTCGTGCCGAGCGACTTTGCGGCGACGACGGACTCGAAGAAGCCCAGCACGGAGATCAGGAAGGCCGTGGACATGGTCTCCTGCAGGTTCGTGAGGTGCGAGAGCTGGAAGGGGAACTTGAAGCTGAAGAGGGAGCCGCTGGGCGCCTCGACGTTGCCCAGCACCTGCAGGCCCTTGGTGTCCCAGCTGAGGTTGGACGTGAGGATGGCCGAGATCACGACGACGAGGAAGCGGTCGGGCAGGAAGGCGATGTACGGCGCGCGCTTCTCAAACACCTTCTTGATGTGGCGGCCAACCATGATGATGCTGAACGAGACCGCCGCCACGGCGAACGTGAGCGTGTGCGCGCCGCCCAGGTTGCGCAGGATCCACACGGCCTTGGTCAGCGAGCTGCTGTGCAGCACGCCCGCCGCCTTGGCCGCGTCCGTGAGCCCCAGCTCCGGGATCGACTGGTCCACGAAGATGACGAACCCCACCGCCGAGATGAACCCGCGCAGCAGCGGGCGACTGAGCACGCTGTCGAGAAACCCGAGACGCACAATGCCCGCAATGAACGCAAAGGCGCCCGTCATGCCAGTTATCACGCCGGCGAGACGGGCATTGTTCTCCGCCTCGTCGCCGTCGTCGAAGGCGGGTGCGTGGTGCTGGTTCAGGGTGCGGATTGCGGTTCCCAGCAGGAGGGAGCCGGCGGCCTCGGGGCCGACGGCCATGGTCGGGCAGGACCCGAGGAGGGCGTACACCTGCGCAATTAATATGTTAGCCAATTGGCCCCCCATCGCCCCGGAACACACAGCAGGGCATGCGGGCATCCTACCAGTGGCTGAATCGCAAACGAGTAGAGCCCGTGGATGGGCGGGAGATGCGCCAGATTCGCCGACAGCGACAGGGCCATGGGGATATAAAACGACGCCATAGTAACTACACCCACACATCAATTCCCCCCCCACTCCAATCACCAAGAACAGAGAAAACCTACCACCGGCAACCACATCCCCCAGCAGACAGCTGCGGTCATACTCCCTCATCCAGCCAATGCTGGGTATGTAGTAGCTCGCATACATCAGCCACGGCCGCTTGACACCGGCCTCCTGCGCCATGCGGGCCGTGGTCGTCTTGCGCTTCAGCAGGATGCCGCCGCCCATGCGCACCTCCGAGCTGGTGGCGCCGAGGATCAGCGGCGTGGTCGGGCGCGTGTCGTCGTCGGACGAGAAGGTGCCGTGGTCGCTGTTGTTGCCGTCGAAGCGGGGGGCCAGCAGACGCGTGAAGGGGTTTGGCTCGGAGCCCTTGGGCGCGCGGGAGCCGCTGGGGTCCGACATTGTGGCGCGGGGGGGGGGGGGGGAAGTTGGTTTAGCGGGTGGGCTCAGGCTGGGGGCATGAACTGGCGGTGAGGCAGGTAGGTAGGTGTAGATGTGTAGATAGGTAGACAGGTGTAAGAGGGCAATGTTTTATAGAAGCAGCAGCGGTGAGTGGTAAATTAAGTGGAGGAGGAGGAGGAGAAGAGAGAGGGGGGGGGGGGGGGGGGGATGGAGGAGTGAAAAAGCAACAGGCAGTAGAGTCAGTCAGTTATCTATGTATGTAAACCGGCACGTTCGGCCGCATATCGACGTCTATCTATGCAGGCCAGGCCCGCCCGTCCGTCCGTCCCTGTGAATCTGGACCCTGCCTGTGCCCTGCCTGTGCCCTGCCTGACCTGAGCAAACCTCTCTGCAAACCTCCCGTCCGTCCATCCATCCATCCATCGATCCATCCACCATCCACCATCCATCCATCTCATCCAAACCTAGATTACAAAAAAAACGTCACCGCTCCCCCCACCCCGCACCCGGGAACGCATCCAGTCCCCGATTAATCCCCCCCCTCTACCAGCCTGTCAGCTGCCGACTGTCGATACCCGACAGCCATTGCACACATACAGACAGTCGAGAAACTCCCCCATCAGCATCAGCTGACGAGACGAGACGAGACGAGACCCTGCAGCTGAGACCAAAGCTTGGCTCTCTCGTAACATCGCACCTCGTGCCCGTGGCGAAAAGTGTAGTTTTGGTGTGCTTACCGCGTGCGACTGCCTGCCTGCTACATACAACCGAGCCGGGGGGGGGGGGGGGGGGGGGGTTTGGGTTAGTTAGTATTTGATTTAATCTGCCGTGGCCGAGGTGGGTGGGTAGGTAGGAATGATGGCATTTGCGCGTTGTGGGTGCAGATAGATATCGGGATTCGGATGATGATGATGATGATGATGATGATGATGATGATGTGAGATCATATCACAGAATCTATCAAGTACTTGATATTATGTACTCTACATATAGTGACATGTATTTGGCACAAGGACATGAATCTACAATCCCTCTTGTAGAGCTCCAATATTTCTACATTCCAACCCCCCCCCCCAACCGCAACAGCAACAGCTGCCGAATATGAGTCCACTCACCCAAGCCGCTGGGTTGAGTCACACGCCAGTGCCATAGTCCGTTACTTAACACCCCGCGGTAGCCCAGGCTGCCCAGCCAACCCAAGCGCCAACCCAAACCCAGCAGCTAAAAAGTGCACCCCATCCGATCATTACCACCAAATCTGCGGCTCGATCATTACCCCTTAGTTGAAGCTACTATAAACAACACCAATGGCGGGTCTACCAGAGTCTCAGTTCTTCAGACCGCTTACGGGCGTCGGCGCGCCAGCGGTCGTAGACGGTGCATTAACGCTAGCACTTACTCTGCCATTCGTGGCGGATGTAGAACAGAATATAGTGCTGCTTACGGAGTCTGAGTATCCTATATACACCGCGAAGCGGAAAACCTCGGCGCTGCCAGATACGGCGCGGATATACATCTTGGAGCCTACACACGACAAAGAGACCGGGGAGTGGCGTCTACCCGTTCTCTGGCCCGCGGGGAATAACTGGCGGGTCAAGCACGGGTTTGGGGCTGTTGATTTCCGCGCTACAATACACCCCCCGTTACACGAAGGCGAGCCAGACCTAGACAGCACACAGGATTCCGCGCAGGAGAGGGTTATAGTAGACGGCATACCACTCCCACCCTCCGCCGACATCGGCCTCCTCGACGCCCTCTTCCTCCGCGCGCGCAGCACAGACACGCAACTCCGCTGGGCAGCCCACACCGCAACATCCTATCCCTCCTCAGAGCGCGGCTGGGCCCGCCTCGGCGACACCGCCCTCGCCGCCGCCTGGTGGAAGCTCGCCATGCTCTCGTACCAGCACGCCCACACGCTCTCCACCACGCCCAAGCGGCAAGCGTACTACGCCAAACACATCACCTCCTGCAGCGCGCACACCGAGTACGGGCCCCTCTTCACCGACGACGAGGCCTCGCACATCACCGCCGCGCTCCCCGCCGCACTGGTACAGACGCTCAGCGCGCCGTGGACCACGCCGCCGCCTGCTCTCCCGAGCCCGGCCTCGAGAGCCCTGGAGTCGCGGACTCGATACTGCACGCTGCACCCGCGCCACCAGCTCCCGCGCTTCTTCTCATGGCTCGTGCCCCACCACCTCTGCGCCATGAGCACGCCGCGCAACGAGGCCGACGTGCAAGCGCTGCACGCCAAGCTGGGCGTGACGCACATCGTCACGCTGACGGCCGAGACGCCGCTGCCGCCGCTGTGGTTCCCGCCTGCGGGCGGGGTGCGCAACACGTTTGTGCCGGTTGAGAACTACTATGCGCCGACGGTGGCGCAGATGGACCGCGTGCTGAGGTTGATTGTTGAAGAGCCGTATTATGATGTTGATGGGCGCGGGGCGACGCTGGTGCACTGCGGCGGCGGGAAGGGGCGTGCGGGGACCGTGCTGGCGTGTTATGTCGCGCTGTTTGGGTTCACTGTGGGCGGCGAGGACGGGCCGCCGGTGATGGCGGCGGGGGCGGCGGTGGAGGCGGTGAGGGGGATGAGGAGCGGGAGTATTGAGACGGAGCAGCAGGAGCGGTTTGTGGCGTCTTATGTTTCTCTTGCGTGGAAGCGGCATGGGCGCGGGGAGCCGCTGATTGGGAATGGTGGGGAGGTTGACGAGCCTACTAGCGTGGAGATGGAGGTGATGGGCAGTAGTGAGGTGCCGGATTTTGTGGTGCTGGTGGGGCTGCAGGGGAGCGGGAAGAGCGGGTTTGCGCGGATGTGTAGGCTGCGGAACCCTAATGTTGAGGTTCTGTCGCCGGATGAGATCGTGGCTGAAGAGCGGGTTGGGACGGCGTCTGCGAAAAGGGCCTGCGAGGCTGCCGTGGGTCAATGGAGGGGTGGCGGCAGCAGGAAGGTGCTTGTTCTAGATCGATGTAATCCCACGCCTAGTGAGCGCAGGGAGTGGACCAAGATGTTCAATTACAGCGCCAACATCACCGCAGTATGGTTCGACTATGATGCAGAGCTTTGTCAATCCCGCGCTGAGCACCGGGGTTTGCACCCTACGATGCCGCCGCACCGCGTCAAGAGTGCCATCTCCAGTACCGCAAAGTTATTGCAGCCTCCAACGCTGGATGAAGGCTTCACGGGTGTTGTGAGAGTAAGGTGTATCGCGAATGCGGTCGAGCTGGCGAATCGCTGGTTTGGAGAGGTGCCTATGAGAAAATTCGTCAGGACGAGGCATCTACTTGATCTGGGGTCCGCAACACGGGACGATCTAGTCCTCGATAGCAACGATCTGGAGGGACGGTTCCAGAAGATGGTTGTGGTGGAAGAGAAAGTGGACGGCGCGAATATTGGTTTTTCGCTTGACGCCACAGGGAAGATATTGGTGCAGAACCGCAGCCATTACATCAGCTCCTCTGACCAGGCCCAGTTCTCGAAGATAGACTGGTGGCTGGAGAGATATGGGCCGAAGTTGTACAGGGTGTTGGCGAGAGACGAGGTGTTGAAGGAGAGATATGTGTTGTTTGGAGAATGGATGGCGGCAACACATAGCATTGCATATACGAGGCTTCCCGCGTTCTTTTTGGCCTTTGACTTGTTAGATCGTTTGACAGGAAGCTTCGTGGGGCGGGACACTTTGGTGGGGCTCCTGAAGAACAGCGGTATCAGTATAGTGCCAGAGATTTATAGAGGTATATTAGAGGGAAGGGAGATGCTGCTGGGGTTCTTGGAAAGGGAGAGCCTGTTTGCGCCTGGCACAAGGGTAGAGGGAGTGGTTGTCAGGTGGCAGAACGGCGAGAGAGGAAAGGTTGTCAGAGAGAATTTTGTTGCTGGGAGTGAGCATTGGAGTAAGAATGAGTATAGGAAAAATAGGCTCGCGGCGGAGGAGGAGGCCGAGTGAGAGCCTGTGGTTGGTGCGAGTGATTGCCTGTGACTATGGCAATGATCGCGTCCATAAGAATCCTGCCTCTCTCTCGGACGATTGTCAGATATGTGCATGCACACTTGCCAACGTAAGTTGTATTTTTGGTCCTCAATAGATTTGGTGTGTATTTGAAGCTTTATAGCTGTAGCCACACAAATCCCAGGTTTCCCAAATGCAGAAACCATGGTAGTACACTGCTTTATAAAGCTTAATAGATACCAAAAAACTGTAGGAGCCTTAAAATAAAAAGATTCTTCGATAAATCATCGTCTACTAAAAGCCTTTATCACTGTATCACCCCATCACAACTAGGAGTCGGCCATGAGGTTATGGCATCTTCATAACAGTTATCGATGTCTCAGCGGTCAACATTTCGAGAAGAATTTCTGAGCACACATCGACAATATTCAGTTGATGAACTGACAGTCCGTTTACTACCATCAATTCACCTAAAGGTGGAGGTAGGTACACCCTTAGATACCGCCTCTGGAACTTGAATTGGAGGGCGCAAATCCAGGGTTACGCGCATACCGAGGCAAAATACAATCTGGATCCGTGGATTCAGATTTTACTCTTCCCAGAGAAGCTTTCCATTATATAATTGTCTATTCTAGCCTTTAAGGCCCGCATTCACGCCCGGGAGTTCCCAAATTTAGTTCCCTGAGGTGTCGAATCAAAGTATGAAGCCCATATGCTAGCGCTGAGCCAAGTCAAATGTAACAACTATATGTAACTTAAGATCCACTAGTAAACCCTGAAGAATCCGAATAATTCCCATTTTCAGTGGTTTGTATTTACTGTATTCCCCGTTGAGTCCTAAAAGAGGTATGTTCGACAATACGGGTCTCAAGCTTAAAGAGTCCTACGCATAAAAGCCAGACATTGTTGATCTGAAGTTTGTGCCTCTGCTGTTTGTTTTGATCGTTTAATATCATCAAACCATCAGGTTGGTCATAGAAGTTGTAAAGCTAGCTTGAGCCTGCGCATAGGCTATGGTCCTCAAAGTTTTGGTAGCGTAGCCTCCATGGCCACGGCCATTGACGCCCACGGGATATCTTGATGCTGCGGGTCTTGAAGCATTACATAGGGCAATCTTCGAGACTATAAGCTTGGTCTCTGCACCATCTGCCGTAACATGTCCCTCCTACCCTTAAAGATTTAACATTGGATTATTGCGCTGAACAATTAGCAGTTTATAGAGTGACTGCGAGGTGCGGGCGATTTTTTGAAGGTGATTCTGAGAGAGGATAGGTCCAAGGAGACCCCGGTAGAGATGATGGGGGAATTAGTGCGAGGAAGTTGGTTGCATGGTATCTTAGTTGAAAAGTAGAAGCCGAAATGTCAAAAAAAGCTCCGCCTGTCCGGAACTTATAACGATATCGAAAGAGCCGCACAACCCATGACTGAAGCCAAATCCCAAACAGAAGTAGCATTTCGAATAATCTCCGATTCCGCTACTGGCGTTGTTCGAGAATCCGGAGAATTAATGAGTGACATTAGAGTTTCTTGGCCACACTAAAAAACTTTTGCATCTAGTTGTCTCTCTTTCTCTCATGGAGCAAACAAGCCGGTATTTTGGTGCCCATCAGCCTCTTGTATGCGCTCCGGCGTACATGCAGCCCCACAGCAAGACGATGCACACATGGAAACCCTCACATGAAAGCCCAGCAGCGTGGATCTCTGCTCTAACGCACGTGTAGATAGCTCGTGCAACAGATAATACCCGGAGGACAGTTCGCCCTGCAAGGAGTTGGACTCGGGAACGGTGAGCTTGAGTTTGGTTGTTGTCGCACTTCCAAGAAGTTGTCCCCCGAGTGAGGTTTCTTATCCTTATCAAGCACCAGAGGAGCTTTTTCATAATGTTAAAGTATCTCTCAAAACATATAATCTCTATTCAAGAAATTATTTGGGAAACTTTTAAAATATAGGGAGGGTATATCAAAGCGTTTTTATTAGGGTTGATGCATTTCGGGGTAGTTGTTCCGGACACCGCGTTAAGGTCCCCGTCCCAAACATTTTGGCCCAACGAAAAACCTCAACCCCAGGCCCCTTCACTTCACCTCGTCCCGTTCAACAACAACTAACGCCGGTTCTTCCTCTCTTCCTCCTACTTCCCCCCCTCATCTCCATTCCCTTTCTTATCCTCTCTAGAAGGGTTTTTTTGCCTCCATTTTATCTCTCCCCAATTGATACCAGCGATGTCGGCCTCAGCAGTTCTTTCAAGAGCTTCATCTCGCGGGGTGGCTTCGTGCCTGAGGAGCAGTGGTATTAAGAGTGCTGGCTTCTTGAGAGTGTATGTATTAATTTTGTTGTTATTACGGTTTTACCCATCTTTTTGGTTGGTAAATTTGCGGGGATGGCAAATTTTAGGATGTAGCATCAGCATAGTGGGGTTATCTTTCCAAGATCTGCGGTGCTGCGCAAAGATAGATACTCTACTCAAAATTATGGGGACTACTGCTGACGCTTATTTTATAGTAGGAATCAACCTCAATGCCTTTCTGCGCTCTCCCGATACTATGCCTCAAAATGTGTGTAAACTTTTTTCCCGCAGGTATCAATGGTGCGGAGAGCTAACATGATTGGATAGCATACCCCCCTCACACCGTCATCACCATGCCAGCGCTCTCCCCTACGATGACCTCAGGTAACATTGGGACATGGCAGAAGAACCCCGGTGACACTATCAGCCCTGGAGATGTTTTGGTTGAGATCGAGACGGACAAGGCTCAGATGGACTTTGAGTACCAGGAGGATGGTGTCCTGGCCAAGGTCCTGAAGGATAGCGGATCGAAGGATGTCGCTGTCGGAAACGTAAGTTTTTGTTTACTCGGGCCTGCGCCGTAAACATTACGATGAAATTTTTGGAGTGCTGACTGCAGAAATACAGCCCATTGCCATCCTTGTAGAGGAGGGTGAAGACATCAGTGCCTTCGCCGACTTCACTGTTGAGAGCGCTGGCGGCGAGTCCAAGGCTCCACCACCACCAAAGGAAGAGGCCTCTGAGTCTTCTGAGCCCCCCAAGCCTGCCCCCACCAGTGTGAAATCTGAGGAGCCAACCTCCAGCGGCGGCAAACTTGAGACTGTTCTTGACCGCGAAGGACGTATTGCGATCTCGCCTCTCGCCAAGAAGCTTGCTCTTGAGAAGGGTATTGCTTTGAAGGACATCAAGGGATCTGGTGAGGGTGGACGCATCACCAAGGCCGATGTTGAAAAGGCCAAGCCCAGCAATGTTTCCGCGGCTGCCGCCCCCAGCGGAGCTAACAGCACCGATGTCCCATTGACTTCTATGCGTAAGACCATCGCCAGTCGCCTTACCCAGTCTAAGAACACCAACCCCCACTACTACGTTTCCAGCACCCTCTCTGTCGGAAAGCTTCTCAAGCTTCGCGAGGCCCTTAACGCTACGGCCAATGGCGAGTACAAGCTTTCGGTCAACGACTTCATGATCAAGGCTGTTGCTGCGGCGCTTATCAAGGTCCCTACCGTCAACTCCTCCTACCGTGAGGATGAAGGCGTGATCCGCACCTTCAACACCGCCGACATCTCTGTTGCCGTTGCCACACCAGTCGGACTTATGACCCCCATTGTCAAGGGCGCCGACTCAAGGGGATTGGCTTCTATCTCCCAGGAAGTCAAGGCCTTGTCTGGAAAGGCTAGGGATGGTAAGCTGAAGCCGGAGGAGTACCAGGGTGGTACCTTTACCATCTCCAACATGGGAATGAACCCCGCCGTTGAGAGGTTCACAGCTATCATCAACCCCCCACAGGCCGGTATCTTGGCTGTAGGAACAGTCAGGAAGGTCGCTGTTCAGGGTGCGGATGGTGGTATTCAGTGGGATGATCAGATTGTTGTCACTGGATCTTTTGATCACCGGTAAGTCATCACATGGATATATAATGTACTCGCACGGACTCAAGCTAATTGATGTGCTACAGGGTTGTTGACGGAGCTGTCGGTGGTGAGTTCTTGAAGGCTTTGAAGAACTTTGTTGAGAACCCACTCGCGCTGTTGCTGTAAAACGCTACAACTTTGATGTTTGTTGATGGGGAAGGCATTGGAATGGGATATAGACGGTAGTTAGTTAACGGACAAAAAACTAGCATCAGCGTGTAAAGCAATGATGTTTGTCTGCAATTCGAGTTTAGTTTGGCGTGTATAATTCAATAACTCTTCTATTTTTTTTCTCTTGTTCTTCATGTAGCATTGAGCGATTACGTTGCAAGGATATGTCGTATATTTTTGCAATACTTATTATCTAAGGGGTTTGTTTGTTTTCGAGGTGCAAAAAAGCTTTTCTTCTGACTTCGATGTTTTCTTTTCTTTTCTTTTTTCTATTTCGGGTCGTTGAGGGTGCAGACTGCAGGGAGGCTCTGTTTCCGAGTGATCAGCGGTGGCGACGATTGGAGTGGGGGGAGTGGGATTAGTAGTGTGTTCGGTAAGCAGCGATAACGGATAGCTAAGACGCGATGTGTCCTTTATGCGAAATCTGTTGAATTTTTTTTTTTTCGTAGAGCTGTAAGTGGCGGAAGTTAGTTCACAGGGAGAGAAGTTGATAGATGTCTGCGTAAAGGCTCCTGAGGCTGAGAACCTTCCAAAAGGGTTCTATTTCTTCTAAATATCCACCAATCCATTCGAGAGGCAAGCTTCAGCCGGTGCACGACATCATCTCAGTCCACAACGTGTCTTGACAACCTCTAGCAATCCTTCTTTTCCTTTCCTTCCAAGAAGGATCAACTCACCCCTTTCTCAACCCTCTCTTCTTCTTCGTCCGGGTCCCCTCTCTTCCTCTCTTTTCTCTTCCATTACAATTTCTTTCATTATCGGAATAAAGGAATCATAGATATAGAGGGTACTGTCCTCACCGGTACTTCTCAAAACCACACATCATGGCTTCAACACCCCCTTATCCACCAACGCCGCCCATCAAGTAAGTGACTCCCGGTTCTGTTTTCTGCTTTCGCTACTACAGTCCAGCTAACCGGCTTCTACTAACAGGCGGCAACTCGTAAATTCTTCCCAAATCGCCTCTTCTACACTTCTCAATCCTCTTCCGGTTCTTCTGCGATTATACACATGGCCATTCTTGGCAGCTTATCCGGCGCTTTTCTCACTATGGATGAGGCAGGAGAGCTATGACAAGTATTTTCAGAGTCAGGAATGGACGGTCTTGTACTTTTTGTCAACGTTTGGGTTGCAGAGTTTGATCTGGCTCGGGTGTCATTGGAGCATGGGCTGGAGGGCTTTTATCACTGGAATCAAGGTTGGTCTTTCTCTCACTGCGTGGAGAATTTGCGGGAATGTCAGCGCTAATATATGAGTAGGCATCGAGAGTTGAGGACGCGACATTAATTAGGATCATGCCCATTGAAAATGCTGGAGCTCCAGATATCTGTAAACTCGTTCGCGACAGGGTGAGTTTAGTTCCTAGAACTACTACTACTTCCGCGTGGCGGTTCTTATTTACTGATGCGGAATTCTACAGACTGGCGAGAAGGGAGAGATTTCATTCTTGTTCCAAAAGCGCCGCTTTCTTTACTCTCCCGAAACTGGCTCATTCTCACCGCTTGTCTACCCTGTTGACGAAGACCCAAAATTGGCCGATTACCAACTCACCAAGGGCTTGAAGAGCGAGAAGGTCGTCGATCGCTTGAAGCATCACTATGGTCTCAACTCTTTCGATATCCCCGTACCGACCTTCACCGAGCTCTTTCAGGAACATGCCGTCGCACCGTTCTTTGTTTTCCAGCTATTCTGTGTCGGTCTGTGGTGTCTAGATGAATACTGGTACTACTCAATCTTTACATTAGTCATGCTTGTCGCTTTCGAGTCTACTGTTGTTTGGCAGCGCCAGAGGACTCTTACTGAATTCCGTGGCATGAGCATTAAGCCTTACCCAATTTTTGTTCATCGCTCCGGAAAATGGACGGAAATCCAGTCTGACCAGCTTCTTCCGGGCGATCTTGTCTCCGTTGGGCGTACAAAGGAGGACTCGGGTGTCGCATGCGACATGGTCTTGATCTCTGGAACTGCGATTGTCAACGAGGCTATGTTGTCTGGAGAATCCACGCCTTTGCTGAAAGATTCCATTGCGCTTAGGCCTGGCGAAGCTAACCTGGATATCGAGGGTTTGGACAAGAACGCCATGCTTTACGGGGGAACAAAGGTTTTACAGATCACACATAATACTGCCAACCCTGATGATGCCCCTCTTGAGAACAAATCCGGTGTTGTGCCTCCCCCAGATAATGGTGCTCTTGCTGTTGTTACACGTACCGGATTCGAAACCAGTCAGGGTTCTTTGGTTCGCACCATGATCTACTCTACTGAACGTGTTTCCGCCAACAATGCCGAAGCTTTATTGTTCATTCTATTCTTACTCATGTTCGCCATTGCTGCAAGTTGGTATGTCTGGACCGAGGGTGTGCAGAAAGATCGCAAGAGAAGCAAGCTTTTGTTGGATTGTGTCCTGATTATCACTTCTGTTGTACCCCCGGAGCTCCCCATGGAACTCAGCTTGGCTGTGAACACCTCTTTGGCCGCTTTGAGTAAATACGCTATTTATTGTACGGAACCTTTCAGAATTCCATATGCCGGAAGAGTTGATGTCTGTTGTTTCGACAAAACTGGAACTCTTACCGGTGAGGATTTGGTTGTTGATGGTATTGCTGGATTGAACCCAGGAAAGGATGGAATGTCAAAATTGAGAAAGGTTGAAAACGTTGGTGGGGAGACCACCCTTGTTTTGGCTACCGCGCACGCACTTGTTAAGCTTGATGAGGGTGAGGTCGTTGGTGATCCTATGGAGAAGGCTACTCTCACTGCACTCGGATGGACTCTCGGGCGTGGGGATATCCTAACCAGTAAAGCTACTAGCGCTGCCCCCGGAAGTGGTTTCTCAAACCCGGCAGGGACCGTTCAGATCAAGAGACGTTTCCAGTTCTCTTCGTTGCTCAAGAGACAGAGTTCAATTGCTTCAGTCCTGATTAACCGTGATGGAAAGAGATCCAAGGCTACGTTTGTCGGTGTTAAGGGTGCTCCGGAAACGGTTCGAAAGATGCTTGTTGAGGTTCCACCTAACTATGAGGAAACCTTCAAATACTTCACTCGTCGTGGTTCTCGTGTTCTTGCTCTCGGATACAAGTATTTGGCAACCGAAGGCGAGTGGGGCCAAGCTAAGATCAATGCTTTGAAAAGGGAGGATGTTGAGTCTCAACTCCACTTCGCCGGATTTTTGGTTTTGCAGTGCCCGCTGAAGGACGATGCAAAGAGCACCGTTCGGATGTTGAATGAGAGCTCTCACAGAGTTGTTATGATTACTGGTGACAACCCGTTAACTGCTGTCCATGTTGCCCGTGAGGTGGAAATTGTCGATAGAGATGTCCTGATTTTAGACGCTCCTGAGGAAGGTACTTCCGGTGATCATGGTAAGTTTAATCCAAGCACTCATGTTTAGAGGTCGATTCTAATATCATGATAGAGTTGGTCTGGAGAAATGTTGAAGAAACTGTCATTATCCCGGTCAATCCAAGTGATCCTCTCGATAAGGGAATTCTGGAAAATAAGGATATCTGCATCACAGGTTATGCACTTGGGAAGATGCAGGATCAGCCAGGTGTCGTTGATTTATTGAGGCACACCTGGGTCTATGCTCGTGTTTCACCACTTCAGAAGGTACCAGATCCCAAACTATATTTAGGTTTTAATATGTGCAAGGTGTTAATGTCGACTGCAGGAATTTATTCTCAACGGACTGAAATCTGCCGGTTACACAACTCTCATGTGTGGTGACGGGACCAACGATGTCGGTGCCTTGAAACAGGCTCATATTGGTGTGGCACTCTTGAACGGCTCCGAAGAGGATCTCAGGAGGATCGCAGAGCATTATCGCATCACAAAGTTCAAGGAAATGTACGAAAAGCAGGTATCCTTCACCAAGCGATTTAATCAGCCAGCTCCCCCACCACCAATCCATATTGCGCACCTCTACCCTCCAGGACCCGGAAACCCGCATTACGAAAAAGCTATTGAGCGCGAAGCGACCAAGAAGGGTGTTTCTGCCGCAAGCCTCGCTGCAAAGCAAGAGGCTAGCAATATTCCAACCATTGTTACCCCTGGCGCGAGAGCCCTGCAGCAATCCCAGAACCCGGCCAATAAGAACCAAGCAAATGCAAACGCTGCTGCTGCTATGGCAGATAAAATGATGAACTCCATGATGGAGATGGAAGATGATGCTGAACCACCCACTATCAAGCTTGGTGATGCTTCGGTCGCTGCACCTTTCACTAGCAAACTCGCCAATGTCGTTGCTATCGCCAACATTATCCGTCAAGGAAGATGCACCCTGGTCGCAACTATCCAGATGTACAAAATCCTTGCATTGAATTGTTTGATCTCGGCCTACTCTCTGTCAGTTTTGTATCTTGAGGGCATTAAATTCGGTGATGGACAAGTTACTATTTCTGGCATGTTGATGAGCGTGTGCTTTTTGAGTCTTTCAAGGGCAAAGCCTGTTGAGAAGCTTGGAAAAGAGCGACCGCAGCCAAATATCTTCAACTTCTACATCATCGGCTCTGTTTTGGGACAATTTGCAGTCCATATCGTTACCCTGATTTACATCTCTAGATTTGTCGCCAGACTTGAACCGTAAGTTTCTCATCCTTATTTTGTATCTTTCCTGGGTAGCTGCTAATCAAAGATAAATAGACGTGATGAGAACGTTGACCTTGAAGGAGAATTTACTCCTAGTCTTCTCAATTCCGCCATCTATCTTCTCCAGCTCATTCAGCAAATCTCTACCTTTGCAATCAACTACCAGGGCCGTCCTTTCCGTGAATCTATCCGCGAGAATAAGGGAATGTACTATGGACTCATCGGTGTTGCGGCCGTTGCCTTCTCTTGTTCAACTGAGTTCATTCCCGAAATCAACGAGAAGCTTCGTCTTGTCCCGTTTACCTCCGAGTTCAAGATGACCATGACTATTGTCATGATACTCGACTATGCCGGTTGCTGGATTATCG